ATAATCAAGAACAAGCAATTGTAAACTAAATTTAGCAATCTTTCATTAAAAAATGACTGGAATTAGATGTATGTAAATTAATTAAACCAGACTAAGCACAGCAATTTAGAATAAAAACTGGGAAATGCAATTGCAAAATTTCATTAAAAAGATTCAACACAACAAGTGGCAATGCAAGAAATATGGATGTAGCACATAAACTGGACACAGGAATGTATATAACTCCTATGGTAAAAGTTTAAAATAAAATGCTTAAAGGATAAATTTCAAGTTAGGTCTGGAGAAATATAAAAAAAAATTTCTATGTTCTATTGTCTATGGAAATCTCAAAAACAAATTTCTTTTATGCAAAATAAACTGCTAGAACAATTATTTCTTACTTCTCTCACCTTTGAATTCAGTAATGACACTAGTAACAATTAATGAATAATGGAATCATATGCAGGGAATATTGAAATGTCTCAGAGAAACTGTGGGCCTCTGGAGTACTAAACCGGCTCCAATATTTAACAAGTCACTGAATGGTTAATTCACAGGATATTATGGGAATTATTACATAAGTCACTTTTTAACACTTGGCACGCTGTTCTCAACTAGCAATTACTTATCTCAGGGTTGTAATTTATGAGGATCACCAGTAGCCAAAGAAGGAGAAGCGTCGTGAAGATCGGAAGAGGCCCATGTGAGGCGTGTTTACAAACTGGATGCGACGGCAGCGCTCCTGGCGGCGGTGGCGCGAGACTCAGGGACCCCACACTGTTCACGCTAGAAGCACGAAGATAAATTCTGACGACGACAATATTGCGACGATGGAATAACCAGTTGATACTTGCGACGATGGCTGACGACGATTGCAGTAGCTTGCACCCTCTCGAAGCTTGATACTGTCAGCTTGGGTGGCGGTGGTGGTGGTGGTGGGTGTAATAGGTGGTTCCCACGTGGTGGCGCGAGGTTCAAAAATGGCTGGCGCGGGAAGCTTCCTTCCTCCTCACTGATGAGTGAGCGTTCTCACAGGAAAATATTGACCCTTACTTCTAAAACGTTAGCCTGGAGTAGTGGTTGATGGCAGGACCCCGGTCTGGCACAATATTTGATGCGTGGGTGGCAGGATGGCGGCTTATGGCGGTGGCGGTGGCGGCGGTTTTGGCTGGAACACGAGGCGATGCTGGGTACTGGAACTTTTGCTTCCAGAAAAAAATTTCTGGATCCCACTGCTGCTACCAGTATTCGTTTGCCTTGTTCGGGTTGAATGTAGACACAGTAGTCGCTTCTGTATATATTTATTGAGTGAGGCAAACAGGTGTATAACTGGCCAGCCGAGGTCCACCTACTCTGGGTCTGTGAGGATGACTGAGGCTGCTGGGAGCATGCTTGATGCTCCTCTGTCTGGCATGACGTCAGAGGCCTACTTGCCTGTGATTGGTTACATTTCAACTGACAGAATTTGAGTATAACACATCACTTCCTAATGCATTCCATTTACTAACTACTCTGACACTGAAAAAGTTCTTTCTAACGTCTCTGTGGCTCATTTGGGTACTCAGCTTCCACCTGTGTCCCCTTGTTCGCGTCCCACCAGTGTTGAATAGTTCATCCTTGTTTACCCGGTCGATTCCCCTGAGGATTTTGTAGGTTGTGATCATGTCCCCCCTTACTCTTCTGTCTTCCAGTGTCGTAAGGTGCATTTCCCGCAGCCTTTCCTCATAACTCATGCCTCTTAGTTCTGGGACTAGTCTAGTAGCATACCTTTGGACTTTTTCCAGCTTCGTCTTGTGCTTGACAAGGTACGGGCTCCATGCTGGGGCCGCATACTCTAGGATTGGTCTTACATATGTGGTGTACAAGATTCTGAATGATTCCTTACACAGGTTCCTGAACGCCGTTCTGATGTTAGCCAGCCTCGCATATGCCGCAGACGTTATTCTCTTTATGTGGGCTTCAGGAGACAGGTTTGGTGTGATATCAACTCCTAGATCTTTCTCTCTGTCTGTTTCATTAAGTACTTCATCTCCTATTCTGTATCCTGTGCCTGGCCTCCTGTTTCCACTGCCTAGTTTCATTACTTTGCATTTACTCGGGTTGAACTTCAACAGCCATTTGATGGACCATTCACTCAGTCTATCCAGGTCATCTTGTAGCCTCCTACAGAGTGTGTGTGTGTGTGTGTGTGTGTTTACTACTTGTGTTTACTACTTGTGTTTTTACGGGGGTTGAGCTTTGCTCTTTCGGCCCGCCTCTCAACTGTCAATCAACTGTTTACTAACTTTTTTTTTTTTTTTCCACACCACACACACACACACACACACACACACACCCCAGGAAGCAGCCCGTGACAACTGACTAACTCCCAGGTACCTATTTACTGCTAGGTAACAGGGGCATTCAGGGTGAAAGAAACTTTGCCTATTTGTTTCTGCCTCGTGCGGGAATCGAACCCGCGCCACAGAATTACGAATCCTGCGCGCTATCCACCAGGCTACGAGGCCCCCCCGAATGTGTGTGTGTGTGGTGTGTGTGTGTGTGTGTGTGTGTGTGTGTGTGTGTGTGTGTGTGTGTGTGTGTGTGTGTGTGTGTGTGTGTGTGTGTATGTGTGTATGTGAGTGTATATTGGCAAATAGAGCCTTCATCATATTCTAAGCCAGCCCTTCCCTACACTCCCCTACACACACACACACACACACACACACACACACACACACACCACACACACACACACACACACACACACACACACACACACACACACACACACACACACACACACACACACACACACACACACACACACACACACACACACACACACACACACACACACACACACACACCCACACACACACACACACACACACACACACACACACACACACACCACAAGCATGTCTCCAGAGGCCAGCTTGTCCAGCTCCAAGAACACCGTCTCTGCACCCTATTCCCAGGATGTTTGTTTATGCAAAGTGTCGCTTGTGTGGAGGGACTGGACACTGTGTTGTTGTCAAGAGCACGGCCCGGTCTCCACGTGTCCCAGCTGATTGGATGAGAGAGAGAGAGAGAGAGAGAGAGAGAGAGAGAGAGAGAGAGAGAGAGAGAGAGAGAGAGAGAGAGAGAGAGAGAGAGAGAGAGAGAGAGAGAGAGAGAGAGAGAGAGAGAGAGAGAGAGAGAGACTGATCCCCCTCTCCATCTTGCCCATCTCAGCCTTCCCCTTCCCTCAGTCTTCCCCTCTCACAGTCTTCCCTTCCCACCGCCCCATTGCCTATATAAGGCCAAGATGGGAAATATAGCTACCATACCTGTCTTATCGGTCCGTTAAGCACACCTACATCACTATAAATGTTCCCACGCCGACACCTGTTGACGGGCGGGCCCACTGTCCACGCCCACACCTGTTGACGGGCGGGCCCACTGTCAACGCCCACACCTGTTGACGGACGCCCCCATTGTCTACGCCCACACCTGTTGACGGACGCGCTCACTGTCCACGCCCCACACCTGTTGACGGGCGCGCCCACTGTCCACGCCAACACCTGTTGACGGGCGCGCCCACTGTCCACGCCCACACCTGTTGACGGACGCCCCCATTGTCTACACCCACACCTGTTGACGGACGCGCTCACTGTCCACGCCCCACACCTGTTGACGGGCGCGCCCACTGTCCACCCCCACACCTGTTGACGGGCGCGCCCACTGTCCACGCCCACACCTGTTGACGGACGCGGCCACTGTCCACGCCCACACCTGTTGACGGACGCGGCCACTGTCCACGCCCACACCTGTTGACAGCGCGCCCACAGGCTACTGACAGCTACGCCCACAAATAGACTACCATACGGGCCCAAACGGGTTGTTTGCCCCCCTCCCCCCCCACCCCTGGGGTAGTTAAGCGGTCACCAATCGCGCCACGAGACCTTACACACGTTAGGGGGGGGAGGGGGAGGAGGCGCTGAAGGGTTGTTAATGTTCCCTGTACAGCCCTCCCCGCGGGCGTGCAGCTCCACCACTCCGCCCATGCCCCCTATATATCTCTCCTTCCACGTTTCCTTATCTCAAACACGCTTCCACAACCCCCACCCCTCCCCCCCTTACACAATCCCCCTCCCCCTCTCTCCCTTCACCAACCCCCCCTACTACCCCCAATCCCCCCCCCCCCATCTCCCCAAAAGTATATATATAGTGTGGTGATTCATCGTCCATATAGCCCATATAGGCTATATGGGCGATGAATGACTATATATCTGTACCTTACTAGATGAGAATGTTATATTTTGCCTGAGCGGGTCTCATCTGTGTGTGTGGTGATTAATGTGTCCCATCTGTGGATCTTTATGGTGTGTGTTGATTAAAGGAGGAGGACAAGGAGGAGGACGAGTAGGAGGACAAGGAAGAGGATGAGGAGGAGGACAAGGAGAACAAGGAGGAGGACGAGTATGATGACAAGGAGGAGGACGAGGTGGAGGACGAGGTGGAGGACGAGGAGAACAAGGAGGACGACAAGGAGAACAAATAGGAATACGAGTAGGAGGACGAGGAGGAGGATAAGGAGGAGGACAAGGAGGAGGACAAGGAGGAGGACGAGGAGGAGGGAGTCATTAGCCCTCAACAAGATAATTGGGTGCCGTAACTTGTAACTCAATGAGTTCAGTTGTCATAACTATGGAGTTGTTACTGTGCCGGCCTCGGGAGGGGTGAAGGGGGAATGGGGTGTGAGAGGGGGAGAGGGGTGTGTGAGAGGGGGGGGGAGAGGTGTGTGAGAGGGGGGAGGGGTGTGTGAGAGGGGGGGAGGGATGTGTGAGAGGGGGGGAGGGATGTGTGAGAGGGGGGAGGGGTGTGTGGGAGAGGGGAGAGGGTGTATGAGGGGGGGGAGTGTGAGAGGGGGGTGAGGGTTATTTCTCCCTTACCCTTTCCTCTCTGTCTCTCCCCCCTCTCGTTCTTCTCCCTATATTAACTAATCCTTCCCTCCTTATACCTCCCTCTCTCTACCTCCCTCCCCTGTCTCTTGTCACTCCTCTCTAAAATCCAAACCAATCCTTCCTTCCTCCATTTAACCATCTTTCTCCCTTCTTTAACCATATTTCTCTCTTCTTTAGCCATATTTCTCCCTTCTTTAACCATATTTCTCCCTTCTTTAACCATATTTCTCTCTTCTTTAGCCATATTTCTCCCTTCTTTAACCATATTTCTCCCTTCTTTAACCATATTTCTCCCTTCTTTAACCATATTTCGCCCTTCTTTAACCATATTTCTTTCTTCTTTAACCATATTTCTCCCTTCTTTAACCATATTTCTCCCTTCTTTAACCATATTTCTCCCTTCTTTAACCATATTTCGCCCTTCTTTAACCATATTTCGCCCTTCTTTAACCATATTTTCTTTAACCATATTTCTCCCTTCTTTAACCATATTTCTCCCCTTCTTTAACCATATTTCTTTCTTCTTTAACCATATTTCTCCCTTCTTTAACCAAATTTCTCCCTTCTTTAACCATATTTCTCCCTTCTTTAACCATATTTCTCCCTTCTTTAACCATATTTCTCCCTTCTTTAACCATATTTCTCCCTTCTTTAACAGCTTTTCTCCTTATCTTCAACCGTCTTTCTTTCTTCCCTTTATTCCTTCTTTTCCCTTTCTCTTCACATTCTTTCTCACTTTATATCCCCTTCTTTCTCTCTTGATTTACTATCTCTATTCCTTTTCCATTCTATCTCCATTCCTTTCTTTTTGTTTCTTCATCTTTCTCCTCCTTCGTCCCTCCTTTTTACTATCTTCCTCTCACTCTTTCCTTATATTTTCCTTTCCCTTCTCTCTTTCTCTCTTTTCCTTTACCTGGAGTATTCCTGAAGTATACCAGGAGTGGGTTCTGGATGTATACCTAGAGGGATTCAGGGAGTATACCTGGAGTATACCAGCAGTGGGATCTGGGAGTATACTCGGAGTGGGTTCTACAATAAACAGTCACTGTTTACTTTCTATTTAACATAAAACCTAAAATCCAACGCCCCATTTGACCTATTATTCCTATTGACCTCACGTAAGGGCTGTCACTCAGTGGTCACACTTGTTGAATGCCTTTGCAAAGTGACTGAATGTATTTTGTTTTTCTCCTTATGCTTGCATGATTTTGTCACAATGGTTGTATAATTGCCAAAGGCAGGATCTACCTTAAATCAAAATCCATTCCGATCTGGGTTGTCAAGTTCATTGATATCTATAAAGCTGGAAATAGGATTCTTAATCACTGCTTCAATAACTTTAATTATGTGTGATGCAAGTGTGACAGGTTTCTAGTTTTTTGTTGCCAGAGCTTAATTACCTCCCTTGTATAGTGGAGTTATATCCGCTTATTTAAGTGCCGCTCGTATTTTCCCCTGTAGTCAAGGTTTGCCTCCCATATTACACTAAGCGCTCTTAATACTACAACTTTACATTACTTTATAAATATAGAGTTCCGGGAGTTAGGACCTGGGGCCGAGTGCATGGGCATGTCTTCTGCCCAACTGCTCATGTTAATGTCAGTTATATCGTCAGGGGTTGGGATATCGTTCATAAAGGTGTCTTCAACTTTCCTATTGTTTATTGGGGTGCTAAACATAACCTCACGTTGGTCTTCTAATATTTCACATATTTCTTTGTCATCCTCTGTGTACGAACCATCATTTGTGTGTAAAGGAGCAGTACAAGTGAAGGGGTTTGAATTCATTTATGTTTCCTTCTCTCTCCCTCCATCACTCACTCACTCTGTCACTCACTCCTTCCCCCTTCCTCTTCTACCTCCATATTAACACATTCCAGTTACATTTCTTCTACTTTAAAAATACTACTACTACTACTACTACTACTACTACTACTACTACTACTAATAATAATAATAACAATTTATTTAAAAAATATACTAAATAATATGAAAGAGGGGTATAATAATGGTTACAGAGTATATTCATGAGTATACATAAAATATTCAAACTGTTTCGAGCAATCCATAAAATAATACCGTGAGGTTGTGTGAAGGTTTGATGAGGTAAACACTAAACACCAGAAAACAAACAAACATATATACATTGTTCAACAGATTTACCAAATGCTATACAATACAACTTTTGAAAGATGTGAATATAATTGGCAATTGTACAAGAGACAATTATAAACAGCCGTTGCCTTAACAATACCTAGTTACTTATTGTATACTTGTAAATGAGATTTAGGAAAGCGACAAATGATTTGTTCATTGTTCATATTTAAACACAACAGTATTTAGTAACAGTATTTATTTAGTAAATATGAATTAAAGGTTCACAATATCAGCAAAATACACGTTGACATGTGGGATGAAAAAAAAGGTTAGGAAAATTATTTACATCTGGTGAATAAGGTCACTTAGTCACTTTTTTAAACTGGGGGGAGAGAATTACATTTTTTAATGTAATTAGAGAGGTCATTCCATAGTTTAGGACACTTGATTTGTAGTGTTTCTGGTGTGGTTAAGTGCCATGCTTGGAATATCAAAGATATATGTGTTTCTGGTGTGTTTCAGTCCTCAAGGAAGCGCTTAAGGTCAGGATTAACATTACAGTGGAGAGTTTTATTGATGCAGAGTCCACTTGAGGGGATGGTCAGTGACTTGATACTCAACATACTGAAAGATTTATATAAGGGAGATGAGTGCTGTCCGGGGGAATAGAGTCTGTTATTGTTGTAACTGTGAGCAATTAGCCTTGTGAGTAATTAGGGAGTGAAGGTGATTTATATTTTGTGCCTTCTCTACTTAAATTCATTCTTTCTGCCTCTTTCTCCATGTTTATTTGGTCTTTGGCAGCCATTCTCTCTTTTATCTTCATTATATTCCTTCACCTGTCCTTTCCTACAATTCCTTCTCCTGTCTCCTCTGTCTCCTTCCTTCTCTCTATTCCCTCCACTACCAACATCATTCTCTGTATTCCCTCTTCACCCCTCCCCCGTGATTTTCGCTACTCCCTCTCTTTACTTCTTGCTTCTCTCTCCCATCTTTCTCTTCCTTCTCTCTCCTTTACATCCTCCCCCCCCACCTTCCTCCTGTCAAAAACATAACATAAGCACTCCCATTTTCTATGCTCTGCAAGCCTCACTATTTTATATCAATATTTAAGCCATTTGCAGTTGCATAAACAATCCCAAGCGAACAAAAAAAAGCAAACATAAAACAAGTTCACTTGTTTCTATAAATGAATGCGATAATTCAGGTAAGGAATTAAAAACACGGGAAAAATATACATTCATTTTATATTTCGTCTTATATTTTATTTATTCGCGGAGTGAATAATACATATCGCCAACACGTAAATTAATGACGGACAGACTAATATTTCGGCCGGGCTAATTAATGAATGAATACGAGATTATAACGTGTTTGAGCTGGGACAACGGTAGGTTATTGTTTTTGGAGGGGGCGGGGGTGAGGGGGGGGGGGTTGTGTGGGGGGGTGTGGGGGTGGGGTGAGGGGTGGGGGTGGGGGGTGGGGAGAGGAAGTGGGTTTTTATAGAGATGGAGTGGGTTGGTAGGGGGGGTTTGGGGGTATGTGAGGGGGGAGTAGGGGAGGATGGGGAGAGTGTGGGAGAGGGGACAGTGGTCTCACCTACTTGTACTCACCTAGTTGTGCTTGCGGTGGGTTGAGCTCTGGCTCTTTGGTCCCGCCTCTCAACTGTCAATCAACTGGTGTACAGATTCCTGAGCCTACTGGGCTCTATCATATCTACATTTGAAACTGTGTATGGAGTCAGCCTCCACCACATCACTACCTAATGCATTCCACCTGTTAACTAGTCTGATACTGAAAAAGTTCCTTCTAACGTCCCTGTGGCTCATTAAGGTACTCAGTTTCCACCCGTGTCCCCTTGTTCGCGTCCCACCTGTGTTAAATAGTTTATCCTTATCTACCCTGTCAATTCCTCGGAGGATTTTGTAGGTTGCTTTTTTTTTTTGCAGGGATAATCCTGCGCGGGCCCTAAGCCTCTGGCTGGCCCACTAAGTGTTGCTTGTTTCTGTTTTACTTGGGCGGAGTATGAGTATTTATGACTCGTATGGTCGCTTCAGTAAGATTTTGTCCCACGTGTTTAACAACTTCTGCTCTGTTGAATCTAAGTTGAAATCTTATTGGGTTTGTAACTGTGCCCTATGTTAGATAATGTTCCAGTGGTCTGTTGTGGTTGCAACTGTGCACTGTGTTAGATAATGTTCCAGTGGTCTGTTGTGGTTGCAACTGTGCACTGTGTTAGATAATGTTCCAGTGGTCTGTTGTCGTTGTAACTGTGCACTGTGTTAGATAATGTTCCAGTGGTCTGTTGTGGTTGTAACTGTGCACTGTGTTAGATAATGTTCCAGTGGTCTGTTGTCGTTGTAACTGTGCCCTGTGTTAGATAATGTTCCAGTGGTCTGTTGTGGTTGCAACTGTGCACTGTGTTAGATAATGTTCCAGTGGTCTGTTGTCGTTGTAACTGTGCACTGTGTTAGATAATGTTCCAGTGGTCTGTTGTGGTTGCAGCTGTGCACTGTGTTAGATAATGTTCCTGTGGTCTGTTGTCGTTGTAACTGTGCACTGTGTTAGATAATGTTCCAGTGGTCTGTTGTGGTTGTAACTGTGCACTGTGTTAGATAATGTTCCAGTGGTCTGTTGTCGTTGTAACTGTGCCCTGTGTTAGATAATGTTCCAGTGGTCTGTTGTGGTTGTAACTGTGCACTGTGTTAGATAATGTTCCAGTGGTCTGTTGTCGTTGTAACTGTGCACTGTGTTAGATAATGTTCCAGTGGTCTGTTGTGGTTGCAGCTGTGCACTGTGTTAGATAATGTTCCAGTGATCTATCGGGCATTTCTCCACAGTGCTGACATTTCCTCTCATCTTCCGGAACCTGTAAGCCTATTTCCCATGCACATGGGTATCCAAGCCTGATACGATATAAGTGTACTTCTGTTGCTCTACTGTTCCCTTTCATCAAACTAAGTGGTTCGTAGTTGGTTGAATTCTTGTACCAACCCGCAGATCCTGATGTTGCAACTGCTGTGTTGTGGTCACTGTACATCATCTGCATTGCTCTGTTTCTAATTACTTTCTTAATCTGTGATAGACTCTGTGGTATGTAAATGTCTACAGTTCTTCTCTTAGTTGCAAGTGTTGCAGCTTCGTCTGCAATGTCATTTTCTATTATTCCCACATTGTAGTTAGTGATCATGTCTCCCCTTACTCTTCTGTCTTCCAGTGTCGTGAGGTGCATTTCCCGTAGCCTTTCCTCGTAACTCATGCCTCTTAGTTCTGGGACTAGCCTAGAGGCATATCTCTGAACTTTTTCCAGCTTCGTCTTGTGCTTGACAAGGTACGGTCTCCATGCTGGGGCAGCATACTCCAGGATTGGTCTTACATATGTAAGAGTGTTGGG